TGAAAACAAAATCATGACTGCCAAATTACTGAGATAGTTTTCGTTGTAGAAAACAGCACTTGCGTACCCTTTAATAAATTAACCATATATTTCAAACCACAAGGCTTTATTATGAAACTATTTTTTGTTTTTAAAGTAGATTCAATTTGATGAGTTACAATCAAATTTCAAATAAAAATAAAACCATATGATGGTAGAAATATTCATGGAACTCAATAGACAGTTCCTGTATTTTGTAGGATTAAAACTGACACCCTTCAATAATAAGTCAATAATTTTCAATTCCCTGAGGATCTCCCACTGAAATTTTGCAAGTGAATCTTATTCTCAAAAGCACACAATATCATTAAGGAATACAATATAAAAATAACTCATTATTTTCTTTATATCACTGCTCCAAAAAGCTTAGAATACCCATTCTACAGAATGCCTTTTTCAGTGTTTGAACATTCCAATAATTCTCAACCGGATGTGTATTACTTGACCACAAATGTCATTAACTTTCTTATATCTTATTCCCAAACTTGTTTTAGACTCAAATAAAAAGAAACGAGCACTAATGGCAACAAGTATCAATAGCTATGATGCCAATGAAAGAAGGATTCGTGTGATTTAGTCGGAGTATATAATAATTCGTTTTCTTTTTTTTCGATATTTTTTCCTTTTTTTCACGGTTTAGATCACTCACAAGTACTCCTTTTACAATATGATGACTTCAAATAAAATAAAATAAAATAATACAATAAGATCGCAAGAACTTGAAGCCATTCAAAATAACAGTTTTCTCTAACAAATAAATGAGACAACCTATGTTTGGAAATAAAAGATATAATTAATAAATATGGAAGAAACAAAATAGGGTGCCGGAGATTACCTCAACCGGACTTAGTACACCCCATGTGGAGTCTCCTCCTTCAGATGATGCTCAGGATATTTGATCGGTCTCTTGATTTCTCCTTCTTGTGACAAAACCCAAACAATGCACATGGATCCCAATCTAGAATTATCCACCTAAAACCTCAATGCTTAGGTCTAATTCAAGCCCGTTTGCTTGATCTTTATGAGAGAGATGATACCTTTGCTGCCTAAAAAATCACATAACCAAAACCTAACTTGATTTAGAACCCATGAGAGAGATTCAAGCTTAACCTAGGCTAGCTTGAGCATTTCCCCCTTAGGATAGTTTGTGTGTGTGTGTGTGTGTGTGAGAGAGAGATAGAGAGAGAGAGGTAGGCTAAGGAGAGGCACGGACCCTTAGGTTTTTTTGAGAGAGAGAGAGAAAGAGTAACCTATGTGGGGCGTGCCCCTTAGAGAGGCTAGAGAGATTCTATTTTAAAAAGATAAGAGAGAGTAAATAAGAGTGTAGAGACAAGGAAGGAGAATGATACCTTTTATAGATTTTTCATGCATTAGGGTTTGCCATAAAATCGTAGGAGCAAAGCTTAACTGTCGATCTAAAGAGACTTATGGGGTAAGAGATGTGTCCCTTCAATTCTCTAGATCCACCATCAAGATGCTAAGGAATGTGCTAGAACGTTATCTTCGCCAACCTAAACATATTCCCATCAAATAAGTTAAATAAAATTGCATAAAACCCCCAAAAATGAACTTTCTAAGTAATTTACCCCAACCCAACTTTTTTCCCAAAACTATGTTTCCCCCCGCCCCCCCCCCCTCCCGCCCCAACTCAAAAAAAAAAACAGATTAAAATACCGCTCCCTTACCTCACACATAGACCATGGCGGTCCGACACGTCACCATGGCTGTCCAGCATTTGGAAGAGGCAATCCGGAGCTTAAGTCACTAATTTGAACTGGTCTGGCACTTCATCATGGCGATCCGGAGTTTGGAAGAGGCGGTCCGGCATTTCTTTCTAGATTAATGAGTGGTCCGGCATTTGTGAGCTACGGTCTGGCAAAATTGTGTCTGGAATAGGCGGCCTGATAGTGTACAGTTCCGGTCCGGCAGAATTGATGAGTCCGGCAATATACGACCGCGGTTCAGCGTTTCTTTTATTGAGATCCAAAAATGATTTGTTATATACATGAAGGGTAATTTCGTCAAAAAAATTGAACTTTTTGTATTGGGGGATATTTACTATAAAACTTGATTTTTGGGAAAAATATGCTAAAAAAAATTAAGGTAGGGGTAAAGTTCCTGGAAAGTCTACTTTTGGGAGCCCAATAAGATAATTATTCTTTTACTTTTTCTATTAGTAAATATTCATTCCTTATTTTTGAAATCAAACATTCGTGGCTAGCAAGATATTCCAAAACTCAATATTATCATTACTTAATGCAAGTAGGCTTCTCTCCAAAATGGAAAGCCAACTAGCATGAGATGCCTCTCACTATATTTAGCAAGAAAATGCAATCCCCTATGGGTGGGGTGTGTCATCCTTTGGTGGCTACTCATGGACCTCTCTCAATTGTCTTATGTGATTTAAATAGGCCACAAATAATTATGAAGGGTCCCACACTTTTTTAGAAACAATAAAAATTGATTTTAGATTTTTCAAACCTCTTGGTTTATTTAAAACTTTAGAAATGAATTTCTCTTGATTTATAAATCCAAATGACAGATTAAAATAACATAAGATTCATAAAAATTCAAATAAGCATTCTAAAAATCAAATAACATAAAATTAATTAAATTAAATTAATTTTGATGGGAATAAGATCCGAATAGGTCTAGGATTTAATCAACGCATAGGAGCACTCCACCTTCAACTGTAGACCACGATCCACACTAGCTTTCTCAAGCTGACTCAACAGTTCTCATGACCCGTAGTCCACTACAGGGGCTCATGATCGGACCGCCAAAGTCAATCAATAAGCTAGAGGACATAATCCCAATCTGTGAATTTCAGGTTATCCCTTAGAAACAAACCATGATCCGCCAAACCATGATGGAACCATGACTCTATGGTGTATAGAGGTAATCTCTCGCATATGTACACGCTTCACCCTTAATGGTGAATTACTATCTCAATATGGCTATCTATGTATATGTCATTTGATGATATAATGATGAGGTTTTAGTCATGTCTCTATAGACTATTCATCACACACAAATGTCACGCAATCCCTTGGCTCTCATCCCGACATACTCCAACATCATCAAAGGCTAACCCACTGAACTCCCTTCAGTTTCTTCTCTATGCTCAGGTACCTTAGGTTTTCCAACTCGATTGACCTAGCACGTCAAGCCTAGTCCTATTATCGACAAATTGTATTTGCCTAGTATAGTCCACAAGAGGACCACACTCCCACTGAGTTTATGTTTCACTATATACAATGTTCATACAAGCTCTCATAAAGCCTTTAAAAGCTACATAAACCCAACATTCAATCGTAATATCCAAGCTGTTTGTTTTCTAGATAATAGAATTTGATTTAAGGGAGATTTATTCAAAGTAAAATATATTCGAAATACTAGTTAGACATTGAGTATTTAACAATTTGCCCAATTGGAATTATTCAGACATAAGACCAACCATGTGTTTTTCCATAGGTATTTTGAAAGAAATGAAAAGATAAGAGCAAAGTGTTAAATGGTTCATCTCTCATAGGCGATTTGATAGATTTCCTTAATCCAAATACAATTACTTAACTTTCTATTCATAATTTTTCATTGGATCCGGTTTCTATGCAACCAAGCCCGCATATGTAGAAATGCGGGCCTCTTAATAAATCTATTTTTGAGATATATTTTAAGGCTTAATTTTTAAGGACATGTAACCTCTAACTTTGAGATCATGAATATGAAAAAATACATAAATTTTAAAAACTAAAAATAATAATTCTACTAAGAAAACATTTGGACTCTTGGTTTCTATTCTTTTTAGATGAAACACATACTTGCATCCATCTTTAAATTCATCCTTTACACCATCTAGACCGCATATGTAGAAATGCGGTCTAGCCCGCATGAAACAATTTTCTTTTTTTATATAGTTTCAAAATACCCATGAAAAGACATGTAATCATGAGCTAGAATAATTGCAAAAAAGTAAAATGTTAAATAATTCATTTTTTAGAGGTTTTTTGACAAATTTTTAGTATTTTAATAACGAGTGTCAAAAATTATAGGATGCAATTCTATAAGGCCTAGGCGTTATTGATGAAGTTAAGCCTCACTTCAAAATCTTGTCAGGAAAATACTTCAGGCATGGGAAATCCCTATAAGAAGATTTTAAAATCTATTTTCACCAACTAGTGTAAAACGTTGTAGCTCAAAAAATGGTATAGATGTTATGGATCTATGACCAGCGATTGTATGTAGTAAGACCATTAACTTTTGATACAAGGTGGTCACAATTATTTACAACCATCCGATACGAAGTTTGATAGCTTGGATATATCACAAAGTTCGATAAAAAAATTTTTGAAGTTTGAGCCGGGTCAATAGAAAAATTGCAGCCACCCAATTTCACATTTAATGGTCAAGATTAATGTCTCACCTTGTAAAAAAAAGTAAATTGTCTCATTTTATACTTTTCTGTATATTAATTAAGGTTTAAATAATCGGTTTGAAGGCTTTCAAACACCATAACTATAATTTTTAGTAGGTCTCGAGATAAACATGGGTCTTATTTTTTAAAAAATATAAAATGAGATTGTTTACTTTTGATACAAGATAATCACAATTAATCTTGACCATTAAACATGAAATTAAGTGGCGTCTTTTATCCAATTGACCAGACTTGAACTTCAAAAGAAAGACTTATGCGAGTTTGTGACACACGAAACTATCAAATTTCTAAGTAATTGTGAAATGGGTCATGGTGTACAATTTCCTTATTTTAAGGTAGTCCAAAAACTATAATCACGCTCCGAATAACCGGATGCAGCAAACAGTGAATGAGCCCACTTTCTCGACGCATTTTCGCCAAATAGGCGGCTAGGATTTAACGGATCCTAGAAGCTTTTAGAGGATACCAACCTCTCTTCATGTGGACGAGCCATTTCCACATCTGAAGCGCCAAGGAACTTCCACCTGTCATGCACTGCAGAGGACGGCCCAGATAAAAGGAAACTTGGACCATGCGTTCCTCGTCTCTCTCTCAAGAAATCCAGTACAAAACTTGATATAATGAAGAGGGAATGAAAAGTTTCAGAGTAAAGTGAGAAAACCCAACATCCATGGCTCTGCAATTGAGCAACTTGGGTTTCTGTGTTTTTCAAAGGAGAGGAAAGAAACAGTTGATAAAAGCTTCTTCTGCAACTGATAATGTCGCCACAGTGAGTAAAGAGGAAGAAGAGAGAGAAGGGAAGGTTAAGGTTGGTGGGTCCGAATTGAAGGTCACCAAGCTTGGGATAGGGGCCTGGTCATGGGGGGACACAAGCTACTGGAACAATTTCGAATGGGATGGTAAGACCTCTCTCTCTCTCTCTCTATCTCTCTCTCTCTAAAAGCCAAGGTAGTTGATGGCTTTTGGATGACAGTTGGTTAATGGGGTTTCAGATAGGAAAATGAAGGCCGCCAAAGCTGCCTTTAATGCAAGCATTGATGATGGCGTTACTTTTTTTGACACTGCAGAGGTTTATGGATCAAGGGTCAGCTTTCTATTTCTCTCTATTTTATCTCTTACTATCCATTAGCCTGTCTCTCGCCTCTCCAAACTTTCTAAGCGGTTGTATGTGCAATTGTTTGGCAGCTCTCATTTGGTGCTGTGAATTCCGAAACGTTGCTCGGAAGGTAATCTGAGGGTTTAGAAAATGATGAACAATTTCCATTATTTTCTATGTAATGATGAAGGAAACCCCAGGAGAGAGAGAGAGAGAGAGAGAGAGCATGGTGATGGTGAACATTTAGAACCCTGATTTACCCCTCTTCCTGCGTGCTCTATGCATAGAATTTTGTTCAATCCTTAGTTGTTGTTGGTGTGTGTGTATGAGAGAGAGGATGATCTCTGACTTACCCCTCTTTGTGGGTGATCCATGCATGGAGTTTTGTTCAATTCTTGGTTTGTGTTCGTATGTGTGTGAGAGAGAGAGAGAGCAATGACATGGCATTTTATGTATAGGTTTATAAAGGAAAGAAAAGTGAGAGAGGCAGAAGTGGATATAGCAGTGGCAACCAAATTTGCTGCTTTGCCATGGAGATTAGGCCGAGGGAGTGTTGTTCCTGCTCTGAAAGAATCACTAGCTCGTCTCCAACTTCCCGTTGTAGAGCTCTACCAGCTACATTGGTAAAACCTCTTTCTCTCTCTCTACAAAAAAAAACTTCCTCTCTCTAGACCTGATACGAATGGTATTTCTTCTTTCAGGCCAGGAATATGGGGAAATGAAGGTAGGATTCAAGAGGTTGTCACGTTTTTTGTACGTAAAATAAACAGAAATCTATATGATGCTGACCATTTTCTTCAATGATAAATAGTGTTCTTTAACGCTGAATAATTTTCAGGGTACATTGATGGATTAGGTGATGCTGTGGAGCAAGGCCTCGTAAAGGCTGTTGGTGTGTCAAATTACAGTGGTAAATGCCTCTCTCTCTCTCTCTCTCTCTCTTAACCAATCCCAACAAAGAAAAATTGGCAATCCTTATGTTGAGAGAGAGGAGGGAGGGAGAGAGAGGAAGTCTTCACAGAGCAAAAAGCCTAACTAGAAATAAGTTATGAACCTTCCCCATGGTCATGTTGTTAGAGAGAGAGACCCATGGTCATGTTGAGAGAGAGAGAGAGAGAGGATGAAAAGCCTTCGCCATGGTCATGTTGTTATACAGAGAGAGATGATGTTGATGTTGAAAATAATTCTTTAGGCTTACAATTTGCCACAGAGAAGCGTTTAAGAGAAGCGTACAATCAGCTAAAGAAGCGCGGAATTCCTCTGGCTTCGAACCAGGTGAATTACAGCCTTATATACAGAGCACCAGAGGAAAATGGGGTGAAAGCTGCCTGTGATGAACTGGGCATCACTTTGATTGCTTACTCTCCCATAGCCCAAGGTTTTATCTCTCTAACTTAATAATAATCCAAAGATATTGTTTCTCTCTCTAACAAAACCCACATTAAGGTAGTAATAGCAAAACATTTGTGAGTAAATTTGTATTCCTTACTGTGATTGATTTTCAGGTATTCTTACGGGAAAGTATACACCAGAAAACCCTCCCAGTGGTCCACGAGGCCGCATATACACACCAGAGTTTCTCACTCAGGTAAATTCCATTAAACCATGTACTCTCTCTCTTCTATCGTGCGTTTTATCTCTGTAAAAATGCTGCTCTCTTTCTAGCGTTTCTCTGTGTAAAAATGCTCATATAAAACTGGTTTGTTTTCTGCAGTTGGGTCCATTACTGGATCAAATCAAGGAAATTGGGCAGAAATATGGGAAGACCCCAACTCAGGTCTCTCTCTCCCTACCCCTAGACTCAGTAGCTATTCTCTTTCAAATATGATTCTACTCGAGCTCTCTTGAGAATGACTCAACTATTTCTCAGAGTATTCCTCTCTTCCATGCAGGTTGCCCTGAACTGGTTGATAGCTCAGGAGAATGTGATCCCTATCCCTGGTGCAAAGAATGCAGAACAGGCTAAAGAGTTTGCAGGTGCTCTCTGTTGGAAACTCTCAGACGACGAGGTCTCAAAGCTTCGGTCTTTGGCTTCAACAATAAGACCAGTCATTGGATTCCCAGTCGAGAGATTGTAGCTCAGTATACAAATTACCAATATGTTTGAAATTACAGTTGATAGAACAAAGATTGTAATTACAGTTGTTTGAAATTACCAATATGTTTGAAATTACAGTTGATAGAACAGTTCAGATTACAAATGCATCCCCTCTACCCCGGTGGGTATTCCTCTCTCTCGGGCACTGAGGATTATATGTCTATAAATGTTGATATGCCATAATGCATAACATTTCTATCAAATCCGATGAGTGGTCCTTGATATACACATGCAATTCTCTCTCTCTCCCACTCTCTCTCTCTCTCTCTTTCACATGCGGCTCTCCCTCTATTGGATCGAGAAGATGAGATTAGATTCAACAGTACGTGGTTTCCAATACAAGCAATGGAAAAGAAGATCAATCTCAAGAAGTGTTAGTAATTATATTTTGAATACAAATGCATTGGGTATATGGTCTGTGCTACATACAATGACATCTCTCTCACACACACATACACATAAAAGTGCGTGCACACAGATATTAAATGAGTGTAAGATTTCAATGTTGAAGCGTGTACCTGTGATTTGATCTGCTTGTAAAGATCTTTCTCACACTTTCTCAAGCTAGGGACTTTATGTAAACTTAGGTAAGATCATTTTCATCCAGGGGTTCCTCCTCCCCTTTGTCTTCAACATTGAGTGAGCTCACTTCACCTGTAGGCAATTTCCTCGCAAGCCTTATAATCTGCACAAATTGTTTGCAAGAAACACAAAAGGACAATAGACAAAATCAGCAAATAAAAGTTTTGCTTCAAAATGGACAATTCATTTACTTCCCTAAGCTTTGAATACAGCAATATTGACATAATCAATAGTATGCACCAAAAATATAGAGCTATGGGATCACATAACATACCAAATGCAAGCCTTATAATCTGCACGAATTGTTTGCAAGAAACACAGAAGGGCAATAGACAAAATCAGCAAATAAAAGCTTTGCTCCAAATGGACAATTCATTTACTTCCCTAAGCTTTGAATACAGCAATATTGACATAATCAATAGCATGCTCCAAAAATATAGAGCTATGGGATCACATAACATACCAAATGCAGTATAATGTTCATAAACTTGTGCTCTCCACGGTTCATTCCACGATAATGAACCGTTGAATAGTCCATCTTTGCTGTTTGTCATTGAGATTGGACAGCGAAGACCTTCGTGTAGTATACAAATAGCATACTACACGTAGAATAGGACTCATCTAGCCACATGGATGAACACGGGTAAAGAAACTAGTCCAAGAGAATAGGATTTGCCTAGCCACATGGAATATAGAAATGCTTACAAGTGAGAATACGGAGTTAGTTAATACAATGAGACGAAGGAGAGTAAACATCATTTGTCTATAAGAAACTAAATGGACAGGAGAAAAAGTGAAGAAATGGATGGGTATAAATTTTGGTATACAGGAAAAAATAATAATAGAAATGAAGTATGCATAATAGTAGACAAAGATTTAAAAGATAAAGTAGTTAATGGCAAAAGAATAGGTGATGGGCTCTTATTGATTAAACTTGTATTAGAGAAAGAGATAATTAACGTAATTAGTTCTTATGCACCACAAGTAAGAATAAATGATATAATTAAGAGAATTTTAGGAAGACATAGATGGAATAGTTCAAGACATACCAAATGGATAAAGAACCTTTTTAAGAGGAGACTTAAATGGTCATGTAGGGAATGATAGTAAAGTATATGAAGGGTACATGGAAGATATGGTTTTGGGGAAAGAAATGAGATGGGTGAAGCTATTCTAGATTTTGATAAGGCCTATGACCTAGCACTAGCAAGCACTTACTTTAAAAAGCAAGATGAACATTTAATCACCTATAAAAGTGGATCACATCAAAGCCAAATAGACCTCTTCCTAGTTAAGAAGGTATGTAAAGACTGCAAGGTTATCCTAAGCGAGAGTTTAACTACCCAACATAGGCTCATAGTTATGTATGTTTGCATAAAGATATGGAAGAGAAGGGGTGAAAGTAATGGATGTCCAAGAACTAGGTGGTGGAATTTAATAAATGAAAAAATAGAATTATTTAGGGATAAATTAGTTGAAGAAGGAAAATGGAACTCTGATCATGATATCAATGTAATATGGAATGAAATGGCTGACTGTATCAAGAAAATGGTAAAAAAAGTCTTAGAAGAAAGGGAAAAGAAACACCGATAAACTTAGTAGTGGAGTGATGAGATTCAGAAGGCCATTAGTGAAAAACGATCATGCTATAAAACTTGCCAATGTAATAGAAACAATCAAAACTTAGAAAAATATAAAAATGCTAAGAAAAACGCTTTAACAAATAGTAAGTAAAGCTAAGCTTAAGACATATGATAATCTATACAATAAACTGTGAACAAAAAAAAGTAAAAAATATATCTTCAAATTAGCAAAAATATGAGAGAAAAAGTGTAGATATCTAAATGATATTAAATGCATTAGGAGTAAGGATCAAAGGGTCTTAGTGAAGGATGACGAGGTCAACGAAAGGTGGAGAGTTTATTTTCAAAAATTATAAAATGACGAACACAATGGGAACATAACGATATAAGGAATTGTTGGTACAAATGCGGGCGGAGATCATAAAGATATTCATAGGATTAGGATGTCAGAAGTGAAAAAAGCTTTGAAAAAGATGAAGATAGGAAAAGCTTTAGGACTAGACAGTATCCCAATAGAGGTTTGGAAGCACATGGGGGATATTGGCATTGACAAGCTGATAAAACCGTTCAACAAGTTGTTGCGAACAAAGAAAATGTTAGATGAATGGAGGAAAAGTATTGTGGTACCTATTTACAAGAAGAAAGGAGACATACAGAATTGTGCGACCTATCGAGGGATCAAGCTTATGAGTCATACTATGAAGCTATGAGAGAGAATGATTGAGCAACAATTAAGGCATGAAATTATTGTATCTGAAAACCAATTTGATTTTGTGCCAGGAAAGTCAACAACTGAGGCTATTTTCCGACTTAGGCAACTGATTGAGAAGTTTAGGGTGAAGGGAAAAGACCTCCACATGGTTTTTATTGGTCTAGACTATAGAGAAAGCTTATGATGAAGTACCTTGAGATTTGATTTGGCATGTGTTGGAAAAGAAAGGAGTTTTCAGACACTAAATCGACTTGGTGAGAGATGTACGATGGAGCGATAACTAGTGTACAAACAACTAGTGGAGAGGCGAGTGAGTTTCAGAGATAATAAGTCTACCATCAAGGGTAAACATTGAGCCCGTACCTCTTTGTCTTAGTTATAGACGACTTAACTAGGCACCTACAGGATGAGGTACCGTGGTGCATGTTTTTCGTAGATAACATGGTTTTGATCGATGAGACCCAAAATGGCGTTAACACAGTTAAAACTTTGGAAGGATGCTCGAGGATCCAAGGATTTAACAATTAGTCGGACTAAAACCAGAGTATATGAAATGTAAGTTTAGTAATAATAAGAGCAGAGATGAGGAAGTAGTTAAGATTGATGGCCAGGAAGTACAAAAAAAACCGCACTTTCGATATCTTGGGTCGATAATCCAAAAAAATTGAGAGATTGAATGGGCGAAATAGAGATGTGCAACTAGAATTTTATGTGATCGCGGCATACAAATAGAGCTCAAGGGCAAGTTCTATAGGACAGCTGTGAGACCAGTTTTGCTCTATAGGGCAGAATATTGGACGGATAAAAAATAATATTCCCGTAGAATGAGTATAGCGGAGATGAGGATGTTGAGATGGATTAGTGACAAGACAAGAAGGAATAGAATTCAAAATGAATCCATCGGGAGAATTTAGGTATCACACCAATAGGCGATAAGATGAAAGAGAGTAGACTTAGATGGGCTGGTCATGTATGGCGCCGACCAAGTACAGCACCTGTTAGGAGGTGCGAGTTAGTTCAAATAGAATGACTGAAAAAGGCCAGGAATAGGCCCAAAAAGACGTGGTTGGAAACAGTCCAAAAAGATATGGGGACTTATGGCCTCACGAGGGTATGGCCTTTAATAGAGTAAAATGGCAGACTAGGATTCGTGTAGCCAACCTCAATTAATTGAAAAAAGGCTATGATGATGATGATGATCGTATACGCAGTATGTATCTCAGACTCCAAAGACCTACAGTGAGTGAGAGAGAGAAAGAGAGAGAGAGAGAGGCTAAAAGTATGTAAATGACATAGGGGTGATGTGATCTGCAACAAGTTTGAAAATATTACCATGTGATCAAGTTGAGAGATGGTGCTCGACTGACCGATGCGCTTTATCTCCTCAACATCACCTTCCTTATACGCTGCCAAGAGTCTAACTGCACAACGGTTTTGGTCGCTCCCAACAAAAGCTTCAATCCTGAAAATGGAACAATGATTCTATTTGAGTAATGAGGAAACTGAAAATCCATCTTTTTGTATAATCTTTACTCAATACAACAGTTGTTAAAAAAAAAAAGAAACGTATTAAAAAAAAATGAAAATCTCTAGCATATCATGGTTTGCGCAAATGCAAAAAAAACTAGAGAGAAGACATGCAGATGCCACTGGCTTCAAAATGCTGACTAAAGGACCACATGGATAAAATACTGACAAAACCTAGGTTTAAGAAAACGGATCGGTGACTCGAATCGGTCACACCTATACCCGTGTCGGATCGGGGAATCGGTGTATCGGATTGGGGAATCGGCCGAATCGGCAAATTTCGTCTCAACATTTTTCAAAAAATCACTATAATTCTCTAAAAAATGTGTTTTTTAGTTTCCAAAAAAAATTAGAAGCGGTCATTATATACTTTCATTCCTTTGTAAAAATAGGTGAATACTGAGATATTTTCGTGTCTGGATGTCTATATAATTATTTACTGTAATATGATATTATCATATTACATCAAAATTATTAAAAAATATGAAAAAATACTTCTATATTATAAGATTTAGAAAAATAATACTCTTTATAAAGTTAAATTAATATCACATTAAAGTATCAAACTTCTATTAAATCGCTTTACTCACCCCAAATTATCACAACCTAACTAACTATGATATTATATACTGAAATTGGAATTGTTGATATATATTTTATAATTATTTACTATACAAATAAAAATAAATTTAAAATTTGTCCTATAAGATCATCTAATTTAAAATTTCTTATTTAGAACTATAAGAAAAATAATATATTATGTAGCTTATAATGCAAATAAATTACAAATAACATACAAGATTTAATTATCAATGTAAATTATTAATTATAATATTATAATAAACATAGTTAAAAAACTATTAGAAATCACCTCCATATTATAGGACATAAAAAAATAAAACTCTTTCTAAATTTCAATATTGTGAGATTAAAAAGAAGTAACCTTAAAATAGAAAATAACGACATAAAAAATCAAAAATAAAAAAAATGTGTTGAGGTATAACATATGATAACAAAATTGTACGCTACAAAACAAAAAATATGTGCTACGAGACAAAAGTAACGGACGGCAAAGGTTTAAATTTTAAAGAAAGTCCCCAAGTTATGTGCACGCTACGAGACAAGCCCACTATTTTAAACCTCCCTTTATAATAGAGCAAGGTTTAGGGACAGCGAATAGTCCCACATCAAACATTTTTAGAAGGCAAAGTCATTATAAAAGAGGTTTAACATGGCGCTTGGGCAAAAGCATGACATGTGTGAGGCGTCGTATTGTACGCAAGGCCCATGTGGTGTGGTGTGCGTTTTACTGGAGGATTTAAAAAAAAAAAAGAGTCAATCTACGGAGTGGTGACGTGCTCGACATGTGACATCAAGGCACCTTGTGTGACCAAATGGAATCAGGGTACCGATTTACGTTGGACAAAACATAACAAATTTCAGCCCCAAAAAAAAAAAAAAAAGACAAACCTCTACCTCCAGCTGCATGGGATGATAAGTAATGCACATTTTCCATTTCATATTCCAACTTCCTTCTTAAAAAATAAAAACCAAAAACGGAAGTGAAGTTGTAAATTTGAAGAGAACTCACTGAGAGCAATCGTTATGACATTTTTGAGCTTGCTTGAAGTCGTGTGAATAAAGGTACACTATGATGGCACTCAAATATGCCTGCAACCAACAACCCAGCCATGTCAGTCAATATAACATACATAATTATCCCCAAAATAAATGTTTCTATATCCATATTCTGAGCATACCTATCTCTATAAAGTATCTAAAATACACCCAAACTTCAAGTTAAAAAAAAAGATAGATTAAAAAATGTAGAATCTGCTGAAAACAATCATACTACGCATTAAAGGTACAGAATTCTGAAATCAAAAGTTATTATGATCATATTTTTGGCAATATGCGGTATGGTATTGCAATAAAAGGATGGTTCTGCATATTTCTATCTCCTGTCTATTTCGAACTTCAGAGTGATTGTTTTATAACCATCTATCAAAGTCTGGTTATTTCACGGAAGAACAAACTCAAGATCTAATGCCCCATAAATATTTCTGGTTTTCCTTTATCAAGGATAAGATAGCTATCATAACAATCAAGTTCTTAGCTTCATTAGGGAAATTAGAAATAGCTATCATAACAATCAATTTCTTAGCTTCAATAAGGAATTAGAAATAAACTATTTGCGTTTCTGAAATGACTTTTATTTTACAAAATTGAACCATTATCGGACAATCCAATAAGAGAGTAGAAAATAAATATCTTTATGGGCTTACACATCAGAGTAAAATTCATGTTAACCAAAGATATATAAAATCTAAGCACCTTGCATTGACTATTGACAGCTTCACACTTATCGGCAGCTAAGCCCCACCTCAACAGGCAAGTCGTGGCATCAGTGTACCTGCATTTACACAATCATGCAAGACAAAGACCAGCTGCTGATAATCAGAAGATGAATAAATACACCAATTAGAAATTTTGCTCTTCAGAAAAGGAAAGCCTAGAAACAGTTCGACTTCTGAAATTTACATCTAAGTATGCCAATTCAATAAAAAAACTAAAAACTAGCAGAACGCATCCCTCCATGAAAGCAAAACAATGCGAATCCAAGATAAGTACTTGTCAATAACATATAGGAACTTATCAGGCTATAAGCTAGAAAACCACGAATCAGATTAACATTAGAGGTGAAACCGATGTAATTAAAGCATTTCCACTGACAAGAATACTCTAAAGCTAGAGAACAAGACCGTTCACAATAAAATGCATTTAATCATGGCATGCAGAGAAACAAAATCTTGTCAACCATGCTCTCGTTAAACATGTTACATCTCAAGGCTGTAGGCAACCAGATAAAGCCCGGCCACACACCACTTATGTTACTAAAGATATGGCCATACTCCTCCGGTGTTGGGGGAGCTATCAGAGTCAATTTAGCAAATGCTCACATCATCTATGTGGGTCCTCTGGGTACAAGTGACACTGCCAATAAGGCCGAGGCGGTTTCCCTTCTCACTTTAATACTAAAATTTGGAAATAATTGAAGCAATACTTGTTGGAATCAGAAGCGGGACCGGAGTGTGGGATCATAATAGGCTAGAAGCGCCCGATGTTCGGAACACTGTCAATATGCCTGAGTTTTAGGGATCTCGATCCCAACATGTTGGGGCGGTTGTAACGACCCTAAATTTTTTTAGAACTGATAAAATAATAATAACAAATGTGATAACCCTAAAATATTTTTTTTACTGAAAAATAATAGTGAACATTAATAATAACAAATGTGATAACCCTAAAATATTTTTTTTACTGAAAAATAATAGTGAACATAATAATAATAATAGTAATAAAATAAAATAAAAATAAAAACAAAATAATTATATGAAGAAATAAAAATTTCTGATAGCCCATTGTACTAATAATACACCATGGGACCATTAGTTTAGAAGAAACTTCATATTTTTGGACCATTTTCATAGTGGACTATTTTTTCCTAGCGTGGTCCATGAGGACCACTCCCTCTTTTTACCCCTCCTGAGTTTGACGTTTTAGTTAAGCATTCTCCTTACCCATGATGTGGCATGTTATTATGCATATGGGATGGGTACTTAATACACCTCTAAAAAGTCACCTCTCCCTCCCTCAACGTGGCAGCCCACAAATGAGAGTATCCTTCTCTTACAACAGCACATACTAATAACTCTTCCTCTCTCTCTCTCAACATGGCAATTCATAGTTAAACGCTCTCTTTCTCACCAAACGTGGCACCTTATCCTTTATATAAGATATATAATTTTAAAAGTGAAAAATAATAGTGAACATAATAATAATAATAGTAATAAAATAAAATAAAAATAAAAACAAAATACTTATATGAAGAAATGAAATTTTAGGGTTATCACATTTATTATTATTATTTTATCAGTTCTAAAAATTTAGGGCTGTTACATTCTGGAGAGAATGAGAGTGAAACTTCAGGCAGCCATGTAGAGGGAGAGATTGTTTCAAGAAGATGGGGCTGCCACATGGAGAGGGAGTGAGAGTTTAAATGAGATAGGTTGCCACGTTGAGAGAGAGATGAAGAGTTATTGGTATGAGCTGTTGTAAGAGAAGGATACCCTTATTTGTGGGCTGCCACATTGAGGGAAGGAGAGGTGACTTTTTAGAGGTGTATTAAGTACCCATCCCATATGCATAGTAACATGCCACATGATGGGTAAGGAAAAACCTTAACTAACACGTGAAACTAAGGAGGGGTAAAAAGAAAGAGTGGTCCTCATGGACCACGCTAGGAAAAAAAGGTCCACTATGAAACTGGTCCAAAAATATGAAGTTTCTTCTAAACCAATGGTCCCATGGTGTATTATTAGTACAATGGGCTATCAGAAAAATTGTATTTCTTCGTATAATTATTTTGTTTTTTATTTTTTTATTTTATTTTATTACTAATATTATTATTATGCGCACTATTATTTTCCAATAAAAAAAAGATTTTAGGGTTATCACATTCATTATTATTATTTGATCAGTTCTAAAAATTTAGGGTCGTTACAGTGCTATATCCCAACTTTTTGGTATCGCATGATATACCATCTGGTGAAAGCATATATTTTCTCTTTGAAGAATATACAGAAGTACAGAACATGATTTTGCAATATAATTGCTTTCTTTTTTTAATGGAATCGCATTTACGATTGATTCCTAATAAAAGATCAATCCAACATGCATGTCATTCATATAAACCAATCTCTAAGGGATGGGGATAATGTTCCCCCCATATGGGAGCGGGATCCACCCAAGGTCCAGCTCCAGGATCGTGGGATTGCCGGCATCGCCAACAAGTTGGGAGATCCCGGTACCTATGACTGAAGCAACAATAATGAATAATCAAACAGTGAATAATCAAGTAATAATAAAGTTGCAATTTCCTGTTAGGAACAAAAAATACAGCCACATGAGACTAAACAAAATCAGGTCAACTAAGCCAATTAAAATGTTAGATAAATTAGCATGCACTTGTTGACAAAGAATGATGAAGCAAATTTATCCTGGCACATCAGAACATGTGTACATGCCTAAAGGTGAAAAATCAAAATAAAAACTCGTAAACACATGGAACTTAATTTATTGTAGAAAATAAATTTGTAGTTTATAAACAAATATTTCCAATACGTTGTTTCATTTTTGTTTCATTTCCATACAACTGAGTGAGAAGTATAATTCCTTACATCAATAGGAGTTTCTAATATTACCATACCTTAGACCTAGCCCAAATTACCCAATCAACTAAGGAAACTAACCTCAAAATTTTTTATTTTTTATTTTTTGGGGTGGGGGGGCCTTGAATAACTCAAAATTTCTTCATTTACATCTTCTTCAATTTCATAACATTCAGCAGAAAAACAAATGACAAAATTTTATCATGGAAAGAGGAAAGAGAAAAAAAAAAAAAGATGTGGATTCTCATGAATAATCAATTATGTGAAACGTGATAACTTCTTACCTCTCAAGTTTCAGATAAATGCTTGTTGCTGCACGATACAAGTCAAATGCCATTTGTTCCTTTCCATCCTCTTCCAGGATGGCACAGGCATCAGTATACATTCGAACAGCCTCATCAGGTGCAGCATCTTCTAGAGAACTGTAATATTGTATCGTCATGAACAGCGAAAGCTATCAGACTATCAAGGTAAGCTAACTAGAAATTCTAGCCATACTGGAATCAAACAATGCATTTGAACAAAAGAGAACATCTTAACAATGCAACATAAGTATCCAGTCGACTAAGAAAAAAGTAAAGCCCAACGGGTCAACATCATCCAATAAAACAGTGAAGGGTGATGGAGAGAGAGGCCCAACATTGGGGTCAAATCCTGTTCTCATGAAGCTACTCTCTCCATTGTTGTACATCATTTTATCAGATAGTAACAACTAATGAGCCCTATGTACTATAAGTATACCATCAGTCATTGGATTAATATATTTTCCCAAGAAGGCAAGTCCCTACCGTGCACCCTTAGCAAGAGCATCAGATGCAGGTTGTGATCTTCCACACTCATTGTACAACTCTGATGCCCTCCTATAAAAGTCAGAAACCTCATTCCAGTTGCCAAGATCCTTAGCTATAGCACCAGCTGACTCCATGTGTTTGGCTGCATCCCAAGGACTAGAGGGCTAGTAAAGGACGACTTTTCTTTTTCGCAAGATAGTTCTACTACTATCTAATGGACTATGAAATTCTTAGTCCAATAGGGTCATTCACCATTCAATGAAATGAGAAGAAAGAAGAGGGGGGATGCGAGACCCGGGGGGGGAAAGAGAGAGCATGTGACCCCAAAGGCGAGTCCCACACTCTCCCCATCACCATTCTTACATTTCCTCAGATAGTGATTATCCAAAACCAAAGCCAATTGGAACACAGTATACTTTCCCTTTCCTCTTTGGATTGGCAAGTGTAGCATTAATGTTTCATGCTAGACCAATCAAGCTGTGGAAATTGCAAAAGCTTTTTAGGATACGATGAGAGCATCTCCTGTCCTTTTGCAGCTTTCTCAAATGCTGTTTTTGCTTTCTCATTTTCCTTGGCGTACCTGAAAGCAACAGCTACACAAAAAATAGAGAGATTGCAGATAACCCCAGAAAAATGCTATAGAGACTTCACAGTTATTGAATTCCACAGTCAAATCCCGCATGAAACAAGCAATAAGGGTAAATATCTACCAGCCTTCTCGTACAGGGACGTGGCATTTCTCCAGTCAGCACTCCACCTAGTAAGACTTAGTTTTGTTCTGCAAAATATTTAAACCATCTCTAATTATAACAGATATGTATATGATGGAGTAACCTATAATGTTTTTAGTAATCCATCCAAGCTTCTATTGCCACTCAAAATATTAGTGCCATAGGCTGATCGCATCGCTGGCACTATGCGGTGCAGCCCAAGTAAATAAAAAGTAAACCATTAACTCCATCAAAAAAAAATATTAGTGGCATCCCTGGCCACCAAAATGTTTCCCGCACACTGTTTTGTGTGACATAATTAAAAAATGAGTGGATTGCATAACATGAGCAGTCAACTAATTCCTAGAAAACCTTTTCTTAGAACATATTAGAGACATTATAAACGATTGTCTACAAAGAAACCATTTATTTCTTGTACAAGGAGGTCACAATCATTCTTGTCCTTGAAATTTCAAAATGGGTGGTTGTAAGAGTGTCATTGAATAGACATAAAGAAATTCTCGGACTTCGTGACTCACCCCAAGCCATCCAATTTGACATCTAATGACTAGGAATAGTTGTGACCTCCTTGTAATAAAAATAAATGGTCTCTTTGTAGACAATCTCATATTATAGTAGGGGAAATATGTATGCATCCAGGTGCTGGGAAGATCAAACAAATATATACCATAGGAACTTTAAAATGCCTTGAGTAAAAGACCCATGGATCACGTGTCTTTTGGGTAATTATGACGTCAATAAGATTAGAGTTCTGTTATTAAAGAAGTTGCACTACCTCAACCTTCAATTAGGAACTGACCTGATTATGGCAGAGTAACGCTTTTCGTTGCACTTCTTTTGCCAATGGGTCTCAATAGATAAGATGATTCATCACCCAAGTCAGCCATGCATGTCTTTTTGGTTATGGAGAAACCTACAAAGATTAATGCTGCTATGATCCTAGAGTTGTTATCCCTATGTTTCTCATTTTTCAAGAAACCAACCCCAAGGATATTTGTTTTGCTGAGTCTTCTTCTATAATCCATAGATATGGATTATCAAAAGGCATAACCTACAAAGTTTGCACGGCATATGGGGAGTCACCTGTGGTTCACTTCTTAAGTCCTGTGTTATCAGATGTAGTTTGCGGATCCCATACAGTAGGGGATCTGATGGGCTATGCAGCTCGATTAGGATGCCAGGCCAGCGCATCAGTTCTAATGTGGGCAGCAATTATAGAGATATTAATAAAAATTCTTAAAATTTACAAGAATATAAAGAATAGCACAAATATGTGATTTATATAAAAGTAAGCATTTTAATTTAGTACGTTTCCCTAATTTATATCTTGTCCCAAATCCAAAACCGACTAAAATTTTCACTTTCTTTATTCAATCACTTTCTTTATTCAATCACTTTCAAACCCTCAAAAAGTTGTTAGATTTATTTTGTCCAAAATCCTTCCAAAGTGAATACAAAATCAACTTGGAATTTGCAAGAAAATCGTACAAGTTTTTGCACACAAATACAAAGAAAATCAATTTTGACATTGTTGGATTTAATCATCCCAAACACCATAAAAAATTTAAAAAAAATAAAAATAAAAATAAAAGTAGTTAGATGTAAGCTCTTAGAACCAAAAAAAATTGGTTCTAAGCGGTTTTGGGGGTTATATAACCCCCAACCTCCTCCTCTCTTTCTGGGGAGGGGAGGGGGGGAAGAGTGGGAGGTATGATGAAAATAGTCGTGTGTGGTTGTGGGCTACTTTTTGTACTTTGATGGTGAACCTATCTAGGTGGGCCAAAGCAGTGTAGCCCTGAGCCATACTACTTCGATGTTGCTGTATGTGATAACTATCTCGTGAGTTCATTTCTCCAAAAATGTTAGCTCAAATAAGAGATTGCATCGCTTCATCTGTTTCCCAAACATGGTTTGCACTTACACATCTACGCTCAAGAAATTCATTAGGCTTTAGAGTATCATACCAGGTAGCTCAGCAAACTCCTCCTCTGGCGTCATCTGCACACCCAGTTGCTCTTAGGCAATCACATATGTTTGCATGTACATATTCAACTCAAAGTGTTTCTGGACGAGTCATTTTCTTATAGGAATTGATCATTTATTGCCACCATTTTAGATTCGGGAGGCATATTCAATCCCTTAATTGGAGCTATCCATACAACAAGAGTCATAAACTCTTGATTTAAACCACACATTGGGCTTGCCCTTTTTCCTGTCTCAAGCTACATATGGGGTTTGGTAGACTTCGCCTCCAAGTAAGGAGACAATTTGATGAAAATACGTATATCAGTCAAATTTGAGAGAAATAGGCCTTTAGAGAGATACAAAGTTGATAGTTGCAGGATGATCGAACAGACCCAGCCTATTGCAAAGATGATGACAATGAGATTTGTCAGCCCATTTACAGTAGTTCAATAGCGCCCCCCATAAAAGAAGAACAAAGTAAATTTTGTTCTTCACAAAGTAAATTTTGTTCTTCACAATGCCTATTGGACCTTATGAGATATCTTGTGTAGATCCTTAGTTCGTATTTCCTATCGTTATTTGTAAGATTTTGATCTAAAACAAGCTTTACAATCTTAGTTTGATAAATTTAGTGTGCGGTTGCCTCAGGAGGACCCTAGAAAGCAAGCCTTAAACAAAAGCATCTTTATGCTGACCACGTTATCAAGAGCAGTAAAACTCTTAGTATATGCAGGTTATTTTCTTTCTGATAAGGTTGTCGATTATTTTTTTGATCATGTACAATGATTGCACAAAGCATAAGAGATCGACAATTCAATCCAAGCTATCAAATGTTGAATGCATCTTATTGCATATTCAATGTGTGCAGTTTCATTAATAGGAATTCACCAGGTCAGCAAAGATGAACCCCAATTCAGTTTCTAAATTCTTATACCCAATATATGAATTTTATCGGTATTCTCATCTATGCAGATGGATTGCGTCATCCCTAGTCTTTTGATATTAGTACTCAGACTATTATACCCAATTTACACGAATTTTTAAACCCAAAATTTCTCTTACGCAATATAAGAATTTACCATATTCTCACTCATTCTTAATCTTTAGAAATAATTTTTGTGGGATCATAAACTAAAATGATGAATTAAAAAGGAAAGGACAGCGAGTAATCCTTATTTGAACATCACATAACAGAGTTTATCAAAGAAAAACAACACATAAGAGAGCATTTGATTGAGTAATTTCCACAAAAAATGAACCAACAGAGAACATTTTCATGAATAAAAGAAACCTCTCATGTTCATGGATGGAAATGGCCAATGGAAATCTAGTTAACTTGAATAATTAACATTTGATTCACAATTCAGATACACAAATGAAATATTCAAAACAAAAATTATGGGCAACAGATACATTGACTTACAGTTTGTCACCCTTGATCATCATCTTCTCCGCTTCTTGGGTACTCGTCATTGTTCAAAGCTCAAAGCCTTTCTCTCTCTAAGCCCAATTTCCCTCCCCCCCCTCTCTCTTTCCCTCTGCCCCTCCAGGCTCGGTATAAAAGGCGAAAACGAGATGGAAGAAATCCGAGTTTTCCATAAGACTAAATTTACCTCTGAAACTATCCGAAATACCGTAAACAGTCCCAACAAAGTTACTCCCGTCAGAGCACACTATTCCGGTTGCTTCCTCGGGCAAAAACTTGCTTACTAGGATACAGCTGATGAGTAATTTAAGGGATAATAAAATCTTTTGATCTGTTTGGTGGTACAAAAATTAGACGGTCTATATTCAATTTTAGGATGTTATATTCAATTTTAGGATGTTATTTTTTTAATATATATAATTAATCAATTTGCATTTATATATAAACTTTTTTACATTGATGAAATTAAAAGAAAATTTTAGGAATGCTTATGATATTGAGTTATCACTATAATCATTTGAGTCTAATGCCAATTATTTGGGGTCATCTATCTGATTTTTGTTCCCCGTTCTACTCTATCAAAGGTCATAGTCTAAATCAAACCATAAATCATCTTATTTTTTCTCATTTTGTCATCTAAGCCTTTTGAGCTTTCTCTTTGCCTTTTTTTCATTTTGTCATCTAAGCCTTTTGAGCATTCTCTTTGCATTATCCTAATGCATAATAAATTGATAAATAACATGTCATATATGATCACAAGTGTCATCGCCATCCATAAATGGGTGGATGATCATAAGAGGGAAAGAATGGACCTACAATCAAGCCATTCAGATCATTTTTCTCAAAATATAGAGACATAGTTATCAAAATCAAATGATCTGATCGTCATACCATTGACCGATGTCTTGGAGGTATGGTCTAGAGTAAAAATTGTTTTGTAAAAAAATTGATCAAAACAAGTATTTAATTAATTTAGTACTTAACTAGTTTTGACCGGTCTAACCAACTTGTTTCAATTGGTTGGATTGGTTAAACAAAGCGGAAAATTTTTTTGTCTAATATACTACAATATTTAAATTACTATTCATATTTTTTTTAGTACCTAGTTTTAACTAGATCAGAACCTTCACCAGTTTGGTGCCCAATCTAATCCTCGTGACATTGAATAAAGAGAGGTTTTTTTTAATCTTTTGGGAAGCAATCCATGAAAGGGTAAGATTTGTTGCACTAATAAATAAAAATAACAATAATATGCTAAATAACTACAAAATAGAAGAAATTATAATACACAGGAAATAGTAGAAGATGGCATGCACGTTTTCGCATCTGCACGGATTGCGTTTTTAGAGTGAGAAAATAAAAAAAGGATGTGTGTTTAGAGAGAGAAAACACAAAGATGGTGGATGGGAGGATTAATTAAATGTCTCACCCAAGAAGCCAACCACTATAACAAATACTTTTCTTCTTCTCTCTAACTATTGTTATATTACTCTTCTAAACATCTCCCTTTCTTTATATATAAAGATCCCTCAACCCCTCTCAAGTTCACCACTAGTTTATTCTCAACCCTCTCTACTCTTTTTTTCTAGTCTCTTATCTCTCTTTAGCCCTTCTTTCTCCTTCATCTCTTTAGCCCTTATGGCTTCTCCACATTTAAAACGTCAAGAGTATTTTAAAATAAAAAAAATTTCAATTTTGAACTCGTCGTAGTTAAATATGGGATTGTGTACAATAAGACTATTTACTTTTGATATAAAAATGTCACGATCACTTATAACCTTCCAATGTGAAATTTAATAACTTGGGTGTATCACAAAAGTCAAAAAAAAATTCTTTTGAAATTTGAGGTTGGTCAATGGAATAAATACACCCATCGAATTTCATATCAAATGATTAATATCAATTATGACCAGCTTATACCAAAGATAAATGATTTTATAATATACAAATCCCATTAAATATTAACGCCTGTTTATGATAGACAGAAGAACTCACACTTGAAGTGACATTATTTTCTTGAGGCACAAAATGAGTGCTTATAATATTTTCATCTTACTTTCTCTTCTTCTTCTTTTTTTTCTTGTTTCTTTCTTTGGGTTGGTCACCATTTCAAGGAAGTTACTTTTGGCATAATTCCGGGTGTACGCCTAGATGGATTTTAATCATGGGATAAATGAACAATGCGCTCCTGCAGGAGCATATAACCAAATAAATTTTGGGAATGCAATTCATCTTCCAGGCGTGCCTAATGTAGTAATATAGTAGAAGATGGCATGCACGTCCACAGATTGCGTTTTTAGAGTGAGAAAATGGAAAAAAGGATGTGCGTTTAAAGGATCCCCCTACCCCCTCCCTTGTTCACCACTAATTTCTTCTCTAGTCCTGGTCTCTCCTTCCTCTCTAGCCCTTCTCTCTCCTCTCTCTTGCCCTCATGGCTTTTCACAAGATCTCTCTTTTGTTAGCAATGCTCATTGTTCTATAGTTGCTCGGTGACAATACTTGCTTAGCGGCTCGCTGCTCTTTTGTTAGCAATGCTCATTGTTCTATCGTTGCTCGGTGACAATACTTGCTTAGCGGCTCGCTGCTCTTTTGTTAGCAATGCTCATTGTTCTATCGTTGCTCGGTGACAATACTTGCTTAGCGGCTCGCTGCCTATTAGACACGCTACTCTCTCAAGCTCCGGACACCGCAAATAATATCGCGCACGCTATCGACAATGTGGGGCTCACAGGGGACATCTCTTCAATTTTAGTACCTTGAGAGCACCACCTGCCAGTTTCTCATTGGCCAGGTTCTACATATTGATTGGCCCACATATGCTTCTATATTCTCATAACTCTCTTGTAGGGGAGTCTACTTGCACTTTTTATTATTTCCATGCCTTGAGTTAGTATTCATTTGGGGAGCCTTGAGCACATGAATTTGTGTTAGTTGCCGCTCCTGTCTCATTTCTGTGTTTTTCATTGCACTTTGTGTGTCATAGTAAATTGTGCTGTGCTCCTACCCTTGTGATATCCTCATGTTGGTAGCTGTAATAAAGGGTGTATGTATTTGTCATATTTATATTGGAAATATATGCAATTGATTTTGTTTGCACAACTCTGATAGAGTAATACAAACCCGGATCTCTCTCTCTCTCTCTCTCTCTCTCTCTCTCTCTCTCGGCCTATGGGAGAAAGTTCTAATCAAGTTATTCTTTTTTTAAGACAAAAATAAAGCAATAAAACAAAATAATTACAATAATAAAAGGATAAAGTTTATATAAGGTCACAACTTTAAAATGAAGAATTAAGGTGCATTTCAAAAATCCATCAGAAAATGTTGTTTTGATATTGGAAAGATTTTTAATTGATCATCTTGACAACGAGATCCGTAAATATATGAAAAAATAAATATTTTATGTTCCAATAATAGTGTATCTTGCAATACATTATCTATAAGGCCCATTTTCAAGATTTTCACGAGTTTATAGCTCTACTTAATTTACTTTTTTTTAAGTTTAAAAATTCATAATTAGAGATGTACATAGATTATATGGCTATTCTAATTATTGTTTACATCATAATTACATCTTATAATAAAATTTACTGGTGCACCTTACTTGGATTGTATAAGATTGCAACCTTATACATATCCCTTAATAATAATATAAATAAAAAAAAAGTAATATTATATTAAGAGGCCACCACATCGTTTGTCAAAGGAAATTCAATGCCTGTGCCACCTCAGTCTAAAAATGACCTACACAAAAACATCTTTTATAAATCTTGATAGTACAAGGTGAGAGAGAAATGACCCCTATACATTAATAAAGACAGCAGACTAAATGACCTTTCCCACTCATGAACAGGCGGGGGAGAGAACGAGATTATTCGTTAGTAAATAGGAATCTAAATTGAGCCTAAAATATACTATCAAATTGCATAATAATATGGCTAAAGAAGCATTCTCATGAGTCAATTTGCACCCATTATGAGATTCCTGAAAGAACCCGGTGCCTATTGGAGTCTTGTTATTGACCTGTGATTGATTAGGCCCGTTTGGCTGCACCAGGGACTTTAACGTCAATGGAGTTACTTGCATCAGTGTAGATGGCTCAACAACTCCACTAAGGAGGGGAATTAATACAAAATATGTGAACTAAATTTCCCCTGCGTGATAGTAGAGTCCTTAGTAGAACAGAATGATAGAACGCAACTCCAAATAGTTGGGATAAGGGTTGAATGATGATGATAAGGTGAAAAACAATTTTTTTTCAAAATTATGTGTTCGTGTCAATAAGCAGAATCACGAAAGGGAGTTAATATATGTGAATAGTGGAGAGGACCAAGCTACATTGATTTCACTTTTTAAAGGCGAAAGGAAAAACAATGCAATTTCTTTTTTGAAAAAATCTAATCCAAATTGGGGCTTAGAGATGGGGTTAAAAGACATTCTCATTCAAGTGGGTGTTTTTCAAACAAGGGAAATTTATAAATGTACACCTCACATATCAACTATGCAATATTTCAATCTATTTCAAGTCAAAATTATGTGCATTTTGATGGTGATTTGATATTATTTCAAAACACACGAA